TCTGCATGTGTATACATGGGGAAAGACCACCTGAGCCCAAGGAGAGCCCTCACCAGACTCTGACCATGCTGGACTTACTGGTTTCCTTCACTATAAGAAAACAAATTTCTTTTGTTCAAGTCGTATTTTGTTATGGCAATCAGAGTTGACTAAAACACCAACATTGTTGTAGGTTGGGGGGCTTTGTTATTTTTTTTAGTTTTCTTTTAATTACTATGGCAGGTTCTTGGCTCAAAGGATTCTTTTTTTAAATCAATCTCAGTTTTCACTTCATCTTAAAATTTCCTGACAGAAATGATATTTCCTGGCCATTTCCAATCACATGCAGTGATATTTTCCACTGGAGGAAATACAAAAGAAAAAAAGCCAAACTCACTATGTGCCTTAAAAGGCCCATTTCTTTATACCTATCTATCTGTTTTATGTAAGGCTGTGTTTAGCCTTGAATGTAACCCCTCAGAATGAGATAGTCTCAATTTATCTCAAATCTACATTTCGAGTAATTCTATTTTTCTGTTTCTCAAGTTCATATAACAAAGGACTGAGCTATGCCAATGAATGTAGCAGAATGTGGGAGCTTCTATTCTATGATTAACAATGTGACTGCATTAATGAAACATTAAAAAGATCAACAGAAAAAATACTATTTTAGAACATTCAAAAACCACGTGCAAATTTTTTTTTAGGAAAGTATTTTTATTTTTTTGTGTCTCAACAGATGAAATTTATAACCTTGTTTTCTGATAAGACAATTCAAACATACAAATCAATTACAACAATGTGCTTATCAGCTCCCCCCTCCCCCCCTGTATTTTAAAGCAACTGACAGTTTTGAAGGACACCAAGACAATAGGGCTTAGCTAAACAATATGGCAATTAAAAATGGCCCTCTAAGAAAAGAATTACAATAGTTGTTGGAAAGAATTTGTCTTTTGAGCAAAGCAGACTGAATGAAAATAATCATCACGAACAGAGGAAGATTTTTATCTTCCCTTCTGATAAAAGAAAAGGGGATGTATGTTAAAACAATGGTACAGAAAGCTGGGGAGTCAGTCTGAAAACAACAGAAAGCCCTAGGCAAAAGTTTCTCCAATAAAATGCATCCCCTTGAAGATATCCATCCAAATTCTTATTTCATATTGAAATAAATAACTGTGTTGCCCACCCCCAGCACCAGGAAGCGAATAATGTCTGTTCTCCATTGTTAAAAGTTAATTTTTCCAATTTAGCAACATTTAAAGAGAGGAGGATATGTTTTGAATTTTGTAGAAGTCAGTGATAGTGAAGATAAACCAATTAATAGACAATACCATTTTAGAGACTAACCATAAAGGGAGTAGAAATATCCTGGATGACCTGGGGCTCCCAGGGGAAAGGGGTTCAAACTCACAAAATTTTTTGAGTCACTCTAAATCCTGTAGCACCTTTGTAATAGGTTTCCAATTCTACATATCACTCCCTCATGCTTTCCACAGCCTCACAGCACCCTTGTGAGGTAGGTAGTGTTATGGTCATTTTGAGAGATGGGGATGCAGAGATGTTCCGTACTTTGCCCATAAAGAAACACGAATCCAGTAACAGAGCCTTAGGGACTCTTGCCTTTTTAATACATAACTATTCTGACTCCCTGAGAGTGGATCATTACAGCAGGTAGGTCCTTAATGCCAGACTCATGTCTGGCCAGGTGGACACCAAGGCCCATCTTTAAACCACATGGTTTGGATGATGGAGTGAAACAGAGTTTGTGAGCAATATGGAAACCAAAGGAGTTAATGGGGATTAATGTTTGAACCACAATTTGAGAATGACTTTATATGTGTTACTATGATTATGAATACTTAGTAGATCTTGCATGATTCAATGAAAGAATGAAGGAGATTGTGCTTGGATAAGTGGAATATTTTCTGCATTTTTTTAAAAAACAAAACCTGGAGAAATCTGCTTTATAATTTCTAATCAGAGATGAGAAGGAAAGAATTAAGTAATTTCCTGAATTTTCCATGGGTATTTATTTGAACTAATATTGGCAGCATTTAAAAGTATATAAATACAAAAACATTTAAAATAATTTCCAGTATAGATTTTGTTTACTTATCAGTTTGGAATCTAAACCATGAAGGTCATTATTAGAGGCAGTGCAAGCTACATGAGCACCATCTATTTCCTCTATAATTAAATGCTCTCATATATGTTTACTCATTGCCATTTACTTGAAAAACCTCTTATTCTGCAGCTCTTATCAAATGCTATTTTGAAGACATTGAATGACCTAAACAACATACTACTCTTCTCTGCACTTACCAGCTGGGGGACAGTTTTTAGTTACTTTTCATTTCTGTGAACCCATTTTTTTTTAACTCCAGAAGACTCAGGGCAGAAAACAGTGCTTTATATTGAAACCAACTCTGCATTAAACACTCACTGCAGCTTTCTTATCGTAGTGCTATTGAGAGCTCTTGAGACCACTGAAGTACAGGCAACTGGCTTCTCCAGATATTGCTAAAATAGAAGAGCTTATATAAATCAAGGTGGTAGAGTTGACTTGGTAATCTCTTTGCATTATGCATTTGTTCTGTGCTCAGTGAATTTATTCCGGGTGAGGTGTTGGAACTGATACACTGTGAGACTTAAGAATCTCTGGATGCCATAGTATGGATTTGTGTCTGTGTGTATGTTTAAAGAAGTATTTGTTTAACTTTCATGAGAGCCCTGTATGTATATAATGGATGTAACCTATTAGTCTTTTGTACATCCAGCTAATAGCCCATGGCAAAAGGAATAGATTAGATGTAGTGAATTGCTTCTGAGCAACGGCACTAGCATGCTTGATCTCTCCTGCTAAGGAATAACATGACTAGTGAGATTCCAGTTAGAAAAAGGTTCACATAAATGTTACCTCATCCTTAGGGAGAGATTTGGTAGACAGATTTATCTCCTACTGTGACAATAAAAATTATAAAATTATTCACTATAACTTTTGTAATGACATACAAGATTTAGGTCTTTCAAAGAAGTGCCCTATCTTGTACTTGCTGTTTTTCGTGGAGATTCTTGTTGGGTTTTCAAATCTCAGACCTTGACTTCTGGATGATTTAATTGTGTTTAGTTTATTGGTGGCCAAACAGAGCAGCAGATAGGCCATTTATTTTCCATCTGCCATTTCTTTTTCCTTATCTTTTCTGCAGATGGTACTTGGTAATATAGAGTATATATGTGTATGTATATCTGGCATTAATATACATGTATTTAGAGAGATTTATTGATATGTCCTGATTTACACAGTTCAGAGTACTATGAAATGAAACAATGCCTGCATAAGGGATTTCTTTCTCAACCCAGGTTTTTTGATAAAGGGTCATAATTTTTGCATTTAGTTATTTATAAGAGTTGATGGAAGGCACCAGAGTGACAAGCCCTACAAGCCAATGTTTTCAGATTGTTCACCAGTCAATGGTAGAAATACTAGGTGAATTTCCACTCAGGCTTCTCCATCTTTGCCTTAACTTGACTTTATTCCCCATTAATCTTCATGCCCTGTGTTTTGAGTTGGACAATGAGGTAATTAAGAACATAGGGCTGTACAATAAGGTTATCCACCTTAAAGGGAGTGGGTAGGAACTCATAATTTTTATTTTGACTGTATCAAATAACACAGAAACAACAGCCAGCTAGCTGGAGCAGTATGCTTATGACTGAGGAAAATGAGAGAATCAAAACAAAAAGAAAAACACAAAATTATGATGAGATTTTAAATTTATGAAGTAGCACATGACCAAGAAGTCTTTCTAAGTACGGAAGCAGAAGCGAGATGCTGAGTTACAAGGATGCTTAGCTTTCATTTAATAACAGGACTTCATTATATTCTTTCCTTCCCATAGTTTAAAACCAAGTCCTGCAGTATTTGGATCATCTTATCCCTGATCAGTTAAGATGCCTGGACTGGCTAACTTGTGATATTAGTTGGCAGAGATGGGTACAGAACAAATTCAAGACTATTTTTCTGGGAAATTGTTCATTGCTTAGTTGGACTAGTTTAGTGGTACAAAATTAAAATCCACTGTTGGAGATGTGACTGCTGCCCTGGCAGTTCCAGCATTACCAGGAAATCTCCAGGGAGAAGGAAGTTCCTGTCTGATGGCAAGCTCTCCATTTGCAATTAAGGAATAGCAAAGCAACCTTTTCTGAATCTCTCACTAGCAGCTTTAGAATGTGTGTTTGCCACTGCCTGGAGGGGAATCCCGGGCTTTCTTGTCATCTAATAATATGACTTGCAGGTTCCATTACTGTCAGCTTTCTGCTTCCTCCCCCACTGGTGCCCCCTTCACTGGAAGGTATCAGATGAGCTATAGAGGCTGAAGATGATACTATAGCTGATGACAGCTACCTGAGCACATCTCTTAAAATCCATTCCCTAAGAGCCAGGGTAAAGAGAAAGCATCTTCACTCTCAGCAGAAAGAATGCACATGAGCAGTTTTAAAATTTTCAATGCATTCCCTCTTTAACATTAAACAACCTGCTCTTTCTCCGGTTACCAATGTGCTTGAAGACAAAAGATTTATCTTTTAAGTTCTTTGTCTTTCTATTTTGCATGATGTCTTGAATCATGAAAATCTGGCAGAGTGAAAGCTAACTCAGAAAAAAATAGATGATGATGTTACACGTATGGCTTGCTGAACCCTTCCAAGTCGAACGATTTGCAAGTGATACAGGATTTATTTCTACTAAAGTAGAATGTCTTTATTATGTGGTTGATATTGCATAGATTTCAATATACAGCAGGTCAAAACATGACCCTTTTGTAATTTTTCAGATAAAGAAACTGTTCGCCCAGCCTGTGCTTCCTCTTTGAGTAGTCTCCACTCCACACTTAGAGCAGGATTCCAATGGACCTGCCTCTTCTGATAGTGTTGTAGATTATTTCATCAATCACTAAAACAATTAAATAACTTCATGCTCCTTGCGAAGTTCAAAATAACCTATCTCTTTTAATAAGGAAATAGTGACTCCAATTGTCTTTTATTACATTTCATTTCTTAATAATACCCCAAAAGATTTGAGATGTCAGATGCTTAAGCCCTTTTCATCAGCAAAGAAAACATGTTTTCTAACTTTTTTCACATGTTAATAAGTCAACTTGTTTTTACATGTTAAAAAATAAAAAAACCCAACAACATACCCACAACAATTACCCAATAACAGTCAATGAGACATAATCCTAAATCAAATTATTTTGTCTTTAGCACTCATTTTTTTGAAACCAGAAACAAGCTATCAGGCATTTAAGAAAATTTTGTTAGGTTGTTGGTTAGAAACTCCAATCATGGGATATTCCTATAATAAGATTTTGATAAAGACATTAAAGAAAAATACAGACACGCATATTTTCTTTTCCTCCTGCTCAAACTTATCAGCTTTTAAAACAGTTACATCTTAAATACTTAAATCAAACCACCCTCCCCCACATATTTATATATGTATATATAAACAATAGCCTTTTAATTGGTTATGATTTGGGGCATTCCATACCTTATGGAGAAAACATGTGAAGACAGTTGTCTTGTGTGTGAAGTGACCAGGTATGTATGGTGCACCTGAATTTACAACTGGGAAGGAAAAGAGCATGATTTCTTCCAACCTATGCAATTCGTTCATGATTCAGTTTCAATCTCTTGCTGTCAGATATATATATGAATTGGTATTTGTTGGACATACGTGGTTGTAAGGGATGAGAGAATTTTTTGCAAGTTTGAGTAAATCTTCTTGTTATTGATTACATTGTAGATTGTATTGATTATATTGCAGTGTAGATTAAAGATATTAAAGCAATTTAGAATAGGAGGTGTGCAATAAATGAAGAAAGTTATTAGGCAATTAAATTTCTGCTTTTTTTCCCCCCGCTTTTTCCTATTAGATCTGGTACAAAATCTTTGATCCATTTTCAATATGGACAGTTACCATTTGAACTTTATTGGAATCAGAATAGTTAACCAATTTAGAGAACATGAATTTGCATTTTTGTTTTCTTCTAATGGCTATTTAGCATATTAAACATAGAGGCTTCCTTAAAAAAAAAAAAAAGAAGTACTCTCTTGATTAATCCAGCTCTTTTCTCATTCTGCTGAAGCTATAAATAAATCTTTCTATTTTAGGCTGGCATTATATCAACCCACCTGCTTCTGGAAGAGAAAAAATCAGATTCACTCAACCTGCAGATTGCTGTCAGCTTGTGATTATGTGAATGGTAAGTCTTAACTTTTAAAGTGTTATAGAAGATAGGCTAGAGGGTTTTTTTTTTTAAGCAATTTCCAGTTTAACAATTACCCAAGAATTTCCTCGTACCAATGAAAGAAGACTTATCCCTAGAAGAACACTCATTGATGAGGCATGACAGCAGCTCAGAGGTGGCGGAGGTTGAGCAGGCAGGCTGGAGAATGAAGGATGATTTCAATTGTGGCATCAGGAGAGACAGGAATACAAAGCTTCCCCCCTCCCCCTCTCTCTCTGGGCTCTCTCTGGGGAATTAGCACAGTGGTTCCTCCTTATCCATGGTTGGTTTTGGTTTTTGATTGTTTCAGTTACCCAAGGTCAACCTTGGTCTGAAAATAGTGAACGTATATTTGTAGGGTGGTGGAACATGCACATCCCTATAGCTTTTATTAGAGTATATTGTTATAATTGTTCTGTTTTATTATTAGCACTGTTAAACTTCTATTGAGCCTAGTTTATAAATTAAATTTTGTCAACAGGTACATATAGGAAAAAATAAACACAATATAGAGAGCATTCAATAGTGTGGCTTCAGGCATCCACTGGTATCTTGGAACCTGTCCCTCAAGGATAAGGGTATCTACTGTAGTCCCTGATATTTGCCTTCTTCCCATTCAGGACTTTTTCCAGGGAACTGGGGGTGGGGAAGGAGAAGGGGTATTACAGACCTTGACAAATTAAAGAGGGCAATTGGGGTACAAGTAAGCTTATCCTGATCTGATTTCCATATTTGGAAAGAAGAACATCAGCACCAGTCCTCTTAGAAAAATAAATCTTTAACGTACATTTTAATCTTGTCTTTTGTTGTTTTTTGCCAACATGTTACCATAGGCCATCTGTTGAAAAGCTCACGCAAGATAAGGAGTTTCCAGTCCTCATGGATTTTGAGAAAATATGCAGCTCCTTTTGCTGCTCCAAAAACTGACTTCAGAATTGAAAACCTGCCATTCATTGTTGATTTACAACTGATTTTCTTAGCTAAACCTTGTAAATCTAGACTTAACAGCTCTTGGATCCAGTGTTCATTAGGCAGACCTTGCTAAAGATCACAGCTAACCAGCTCTCATTTCATCCTGCAGAACTATGTTGCAAAACTCTTTTCCCAGGAGTTACACTTTGCTGGAATACAAATGAGAAGGCTCTCTTGGAAATGGCTTTGAAGGGAAAAAGGAGATTGTCAGCAAAAGATGTCAAATGTTTGCCAAATAACAGAAAACACCTCTGTTGCCTAACCAAAATATGAAATTCTAACTCAGTAAGTCAAATAATATTTCATCCCTTAAAGATTTTTTTTTGTATACAAAGGCAGAATAACTCCAAAACTCTTCAATGAGAAAATATCAAGGGCTTTAGCCAAAAGAAGTTGAATAGAGCTCCCAAAGTCAATGGAGAGATATCAATGGAAATAACCAGGCACATGATGGAGTAGTCTAATGAGGAATGTTAATTTCAATAATCAAGATGATAGATCTTTATCTAAGTACCAAGTAGGATGAATGGCTTTGGCCCTAAAGGTTTTGTGACCAGTTCACATGCCTCAAAATCCATTTGGAATTTCAAGTGAGGTATAGGTGGCCAGGACATAGAGGATAAAAATAGCTACCAATGAAAGTTTAAAAAAGAGCATAGGCTCTGATTCTTCATTTAGAAGATAACTATAAAAATTAGCAATAAAGGAGCTAGAGTAAAAGAGATCCCAGTGCCTCCTTCCATCGTTTCTTTGAATTCTTGATATTTTTTGTCAGGACTTAGCTTTAGAGGCTGAAAATGATCTTCTTCTTCTTCTTTTTTTTTTTTTTTTTTTCATTTCCTAGGAAGCCTCAAGACACATTCTGTGTTGCTGAACAGCTTTGGAGCACAGCCCCTGAAGATAAAACAAACGTCTTGACTCAGAGATGAAGGGAGACCCTGGAAGTATAAGATAATTTACATGGGGCTCTACTCACTTTATCTTCTTTTTTTGTATTTCTAATATAAAAAATACATTTCTTCCTATTTGAATAATGGAAAGTGACAAAAGGCAGCCTTCAATGCAGGTGAGATTTAAATAGTCCTTTTTAAAAGAGTCACAAAAGATTGTCACTTCTGGAATCCTGGGAGAACTGAGAAAAAGAATTCTTGGCAGAACAATGAGAAAATAATATAGCCTAAATACTGAAGAATACACCTGGAATGCCTTTGTACCACTGGAGAGTTGGTGGTAAACAACTTTTCTGAGAAAGTTGAGCAAAATCAGAGTTCTGACGAAGGATCTCAGGAACTAGGAAGTAAGAGGTCTTAGTGAGTCCTGGTTCACATTTTTCACACTTTGAGAATATTTGAAAAGCTTGTGATTATAAATGCAGTGAAGATGAAAACAGGCTAGAAGAGCAAGTATTATGAGAATTTGAAAAAGTAGAAATTCTCTACTAAGAACATATTAAGCAAACTTGCTTCTCTTACTCTAAGTAATATGTATTTCAGACATTTGGGCCCATGCGTCAAGTCTCTTAGAACATTAGGGCTCTAGTCAGGGAATTTTTTTCTTTTATAGATTTAATGGGTACAGAAAATAAATATTTCTCTGAAAAGGCTTACTTACATATAGAGTACTGATAAATCTAGAACAAAATGCCCAGCCAAACAACTGTATTTCTTTATAAATTATTTTGAAACAAACCCTCTAGGAAGAAAAATAACTCAGATATAATATCTAAAGGGAAAAGGTGGCCCACATGCTGGTCTAAGCAATTATTCTCTACCAGGATGTAGCAAAGGGTTAATAAGTAGCCATAAAGGAAAAAAATCATGCAATCCCTTTGTAAAGCTGGATAATAAAGCCCCAGAGTTACAGTCAATGGAATGCCAGAGCTTTGCAGAAAAAGGAACCCAAGATTTGTACCAGTAGTGAGAATGTAGAAAAGTTAAGTGTCCATTCAGTTACTTATAAATTCATTGCAACAATGCTTCAGGCAGTAAGTAGCCCCTTTCCTGCAATATTGGTCAATGTACTTCCATGGTCTGAACACTTAGGCAGGTGGCATATATATTTGTTGTAGTTGAAGCCCAATTCAAACTATAATTTTACTCTTATTAGAAACATTGGACCTAGGAATATTTCAATGGAGTACTGGAATGTTGACCATTTGGGGTTCCATGAAACTAGGTTTTGAAGACGTTAACAGTTAATCAGGAAAAGAAATCCTTCAGGTTCAAATAAGTTAATGCCTACCCCCAGGTAAAAATTATTAAATGTAATTCTTTTTATAGGCTTTATAGGGTATTTATTAGGCTTACATAGATGTTGGACCTCATTTGCCTAACTTTGTCCATGGGACTCTTTTGGAAGAATGCTTAGTAATATTGTAACTGTTCTACAGATCAGAGTGTGGAAATCCCTGAGAGAGTTCAATCTCTCTTCTTTGAATGGACTAATATCTAAATCTTCTCATAGATGGGCTACCTTTAATCCAATTTTATTTCATTCAGGTGTTTTATGGTCAGCTTTTGATAAAAAATAGCAGTTAAAATCACAAGCCCTTTTATTATTTTTTTCAATGTTTTTGCTTGCACACTCTAGTTTGTTAAGAACTTGTTTTATATAATGTTGCAAAATTAAAATTAAGTGGTTTCTCTTTTGGAAGACTAACCCTCCACTTTATTATTATTATTTTTTAATTTGAAAGGACCCACTGATTTGTAAGAGTTGAATTTTGATAGAATACACAATCTGATTTATATTGTTAGCTCTAAATAATGTCACAAATGGAAAAGGAATTTCTAAAAGATTTTTTATGATCACTAGGAAAGCCAATGAAATATGACTCAAACAGGTTAATTCTTCAGTCTTTCTATCTCATTCTACCCTTTATTAAAAGAGAAATGGGTTTTACTGTGTTGCTATCCAATTGGAAAAACAATTTCTGAACTTGATACTTTTGGTGTGGGGGGTTCAATTTAATTTTATTGAAGTTCCTCAAAATTTCAAATACTGAAAAAAAAAAAATCCAGACCTTTGAAAGTCAGACCCCCAGCTGACATGTCAGGTAGGAAATCCCAGAGAACTTTGCCAGCTCATGTTGAATTCAAACAGGGACCTTGCTTCAAATTCCTCTTAAAATATGAAAATGTGGAAATTTCCTATTTGTTAATATTGATCTGACATTTCACAAATAGTCTAAATTCAATGGCTTCTCATATCTTATGAATATATGTTTTGAAAGTCATTCATTCAACATTTTTTTAAATGGAAGTGAAAACTGAAATGTTTGAGTAACAATCATTAATACCAACTGAACTGGCAAATATCCTTAGATCAGGAAATAAAAGAATCAGCACAGTTTCACATATATAATCTTAGTTTTTCCTTAGTGGAGAAAAAAAATGTTTTCCAATCCACCTTGTATTTTCTCACCTCTAATAATAAACAGATCCCTCTTGTCTACACAAGATAATTTTTTGAAAATCTACTTGCTAGGGAAGCAGGGTAAAACTCTGAAGTTGTCAAGGTAATGTGATGTGTATGGTATTTGAATAGAGAACATCATAGTGGCAGTGGCTGGATGTTCCCTTTAAAGTAGCAGTCCAGCCTTCACGCAGCAATCACATTTTAAGCAGATCCTTAGTTGCATGACTATCATGTTATGCATGGATCACCCTGGTTTATGTTGGCATTGGAGAAGACCTCCTTACTCAGAGAGCTTTTGAACAACAGAACTATTGATCTCACCTACTGGTAAATATTACCCAATGATTTTATAGAATCTTTACTTCCTCTTTCATTTTTCTATTCATTAGCAGTGACTGGTGAAAGTAAAATCAAGGGGTGGTTAAATGGATTATTTTCATTAATAACACCTACCTTGCATTTTACAGGTACATCTGGTGGCACACCACCTTGTGGAGAAACCAAGGGCATTGTTACAGTAAACTGGTCCAGTGTGATATTACAAGTATAAAAAATATTCCATTCTGTATCAAAACTAGGCACATGCCTTTATTTATAGTAACAGAAGTTAACAGAGTTGAGCAGTTTTGCCTTGGGTCCTGTTTGTTGGCATCCTACATCAGACAAACACATCTCTCAACACATCTCCGCCATAACTCCAGGGATCTAGTCTCAGGCTTATCTGTAGGTAGAGGAAGGTGAAATCACACTTGGATCTATAGTGGTGAGTAACTAAAAGCACAACCTCTCATTCATATTGCTTTAAAACATATACAGCATATATGTTTAAAAAAAAAGTAAAGAATATATTGATCTCTTTTTGGTGCTGAACCAACAATATGGTATGATGCAAGGCTTTTAACAAATGATAATCATAGATACAAATTTTTCTGTAGATTATGTTTTAGACAAATGTGTCTTTTTAATATGTAAATCCTACACTGTAGGTTGTTCTTATTTTTTCATTTGTTTTTGCAGTGGTAGAAAATGCTGAATAATTGTCCATGAGCATGAGCCAAAGGTTCAGGTTCATTACTGAGATCCCCAGAATGCCAATATTTGCAATGCAAACAATTAGTATCCCACCATGTGAAGGGCTCTGACATATGCCTGCCTGCCTCTAGATGGAGAGGCTCCATAAGAAGTCCTCCTATTTCCGTGGACCCTGCATTGACACAGGGGCAGCTGTACAAAGCTGCCCTCTTAACCTAGTGATTTACTGTGCCAGACTCTTAACTGATTACCAACAATAACAGAGACAGTAGTGTGAGTGGTAGACCCTCAAATCATTTTCATGTTGAACCTCCTGGGTCCAGCCACTTCCCCTTCCACAACAGCACCATTGTTTTTTCGGGGCACATACTCAAGGTCAATGCTGTTTTTGTGCTTGCCTTTCCCTCGGCTCCACACAAAGAGGAGGAGAAAACAAAATAAAACCACTCCCAGGAATGTGAAACAGCCCATGGCTGTGGATACCAGTATTGTTTTAAGGTCCAGGGAAAAAGTATTGGCATTGGTGCCATTGGAAATGGTGTCATTGGAGTCAGTCATGTACATAGGGGTCCTGTTTGCGTAAAGAAAGCGGTCTGAGGCAAACCCTTTCACAGTCAAGGAGGCTGTGAAGGTGTCATTCCCAGCGGCATTGCTAGCAATGCAAACATACAGCCCGCTGTCCTGATCCTGGGCAAAGCGGATTTCTAGGGTGCCATCGCCCAGCACAGTAGCTCTTCCATTGGACTTGGTAGTGATAAAACGCCTTCGGGGTGTCACCCAGGAAATCACAGGCTGTGGGTCTCCATCGGCACTGCATTCTAACTGGACCGTCTGCCCTTCATCCACTAGCAGATGCTGCAACTTCTTTTCACGGATTTTGGGTTTTTTGCAGGTAAAGTAAAAAGAAAGGGCAGTGCTGTGGAAATCCTTGAATGACCTCTCACGGATAGTGTCTGGGCCAGCACACATGGGCTGCTGGCCACCAAACTGTAAGGTGGGCTGTCGCTGCAGGATCCAAAGGAGACGGCAGTCACAGGCCAGTGGGTTGTTATTAATGCTCAAGACCTCCAAAGCCCTAGGGGAGGAGAAGACGTTCTCTTCCAAAGTTTCCAGCAGGTTCTGAGATACGTTGAGCACGCGAAGAAAGCGGAGCCCTTGGAAGGAGTGGGGTTCAATGGTGCGGAGCTGGGCCCCTACTATATGAAGCTCTTGGAGGCGGATCAGGTCAGAGAACATGCCTGCTTCAATAGTGCTGATGGGATTGTAGGAGAGGTTAAGGTGTGTCAGGTATACCAGGTGTTTAAAGGCAAGGAAGGGTACAGTGGACAGATTGGTGTTAGTGATGGAAAGGGATGTGAGGTTGAGGCCATAGAGGCTATTGGCAGGCATCATATCCAGTAAAGGCCAATAGTCAATCTCTAGGTGTTTCAGGTGGAATAATCTTTTAAAGGCATACACAGGCATATTGTTGATATTCAGATGCTTCAGATGGAGGCTAATGAGGCTGCGGAGGTGGGAAAGGGCTTCTGTTGGTACTGCTGTTAGGTTGCACTTCTCCAGGGTGAGCTGTTCCAAGCTGAGAAGCCCGCTGAAGGCCCTGTGTGATATATAAACCAAATCATTGTCCCCTACTTCTAGAGACTTTAAGTTATGCAGATCCTGAAACATGTAGTCCAGTAAAATGACGATCTTATTCTCACTAATGTCCAGCTTAGTGAGGTTGGACAGTCCTGTGAATACTCCTAAAGGAACCAACTTCAGGCGATTGCCTTTCAGACGGAGGGAACGCAGGTTAAAGAGATTGTTAAATGCTCCGGGTTCCACATTGGCGATGACGTTGTCGCTCAAGTCTATCTCCTCTAGAAGGGGGTATGATATGAATTCTTCTGGGTTGACGCTTTTCAACCTGTTTTTGCTCAGGTCCAAGATTTTGGTCTCGATGGGAATACCCTCTGGGATGGCAATCAGCCGCCTTCTATGGCAGCTAACAGATTTGTTCTGGGCAGAGCACTCACAGCGAGCAGGGCAGCCAATGGTGGATCCCATGAAGATTAACACCACAGCCAGACCCAGGAATGGCTGCCAGCATGATACGGCCGTGTGAAGCATGACTCCACTTCTTAGTCTACACCTTGGTCACAGGCCTGTATGGATGGGGCAGAAGAGGGAAGAGAAGTTAAGGTATGGCACAGACAGGTGAAGGGCATACATAAGGCAGCAAGTATAATGGAAAGAACTGGAGTTGGAATCAATCAGATGTCTGAGGGCTGCCATTCTTACCTGCATGATCTTGGATAAGATCACTCTATAAACTTCAGTGTTCTTAGCTACAGAATGAGGATAATTGAGGTAGTAATTAATTGTTGTAGTTTCCTGGAGTTATTATGACAAGTTCAGTGTTTGACAACTATGAAGAGACAAATTCAGTGTTTGACACAGGCTATGTGGCCAGACAGTATGCAATTCACACTCAATGACTCTACCTTGAATACAAATGAGAGGTCAGTGACTAAGAGGAAACCAGTTCTGAGTGAATGAGTGCCTATACCTCTAATGTTTAGGATATTTTCTACCATTCAAAATGAAACTAATAGAAGTTCCATTCAACATCAAGCCCCAGCATCCAATATACAAAGAAAGTTAAAGCCAATGCAAGATTTCAAGATTTTTTTTTATTTATTCATATATATTTATATTAAAAATGAACTTTGTCTTTTAAGGTAAACCTTTGCCAGAATTCAGTGAATTCTCATTTATGAAGGCATTCTGTGTTTGCCTGCATTGTCTCTCGGTATAGTTTTTCTGTTTCTTATAAAAAGATGAGATAGAATTGAGTTATCATAATGGATCTGGTAAATGTGCTTCCCTTATGATTTGGGATTAAATATTGAGGAATAAAAGAATTGTAATTTTAAGAGAAAAAACTTTGAATAACAATCTATAAACTATCATTCTTCTATATTCAAACCAAGTGGATCTGTTAAAGTGAAATTAAATAGGTGACAACTAAAAATTGGAAATAACTATGTCTTAAATATGTTAGGCAAATACTGACCTTACTGCTCAATTGAATAGCAAAAGGTATGTTGTTGAACTGTACTTGTCAATCTAAGGTCCCCTGGGGAACATTATTCATTCATAAACACCATATTTTATGCAAGATTATATAGTTTAAAACAAGATTTTGGACAGAAGAGTATGTGGAAACATCATAATTTATTTCTGAATTGTAAAATAAGAATTAGAGAATAATTCTGTTGTTAAGTATAGCTATATATGTAAACATTATATCTATGGCTATCCAAAAGAAAGTTATACATAAAAAACCAAGTATGATCTGACTTAATGATGAATAACTAGATGACTATAAAAATTCCCCCCAAAATGTATAAAAAAGTTGAAGACTCAGAAAGTGCTGCCCAAATCAGATAGACATAAAAAAAGATAGTTCTGTGGCACAATTGTCATTATGTACAGACCAAATTAATATGTCATGAAAACCTGCTGAAAAACCATTGGAACACATAAGTAAATTCACATTGAAAAATATATATAGTTATTTTCTTGAATATAAAAATAAGCCTTTGGGCTGGGGATATGGCTCAAGCAGTAGTGCGCTCGCATGGCATGTGCGGGGTGCTAGGTTTGATCCTCAGCACCACATAAAAATAAAGATGTTGTGTCCACCAAAAACTAAAAAATAAATATCAAAAAAAAATTCTCTCTCTCTTAAAAAAAAGGCTTATAGAAAACATTGTAAAATTTGTCACCAGCATTTCTGAAAAATATTAAATTCCTTTGAATAACTTTAAAAACACATAGAACTGACAACTATTAAAACCTACTGAGGAATCAAAGTAAAACTTACTAAATAGAGGGATAAGTTGTATATTTAGATTGAAAGATTTAGTATTATAATAAAACACATTAATAAAGATAGTTTAAACTTGAAAAATCATTTTTAAATTTGAAATTTTTGAACTAATATACATAGATATTTGAAAGACAACTTATTAAGTTTTGATTCCTCAGCTGTCATATTAGTTTTGTGTTTCTTGTCAAGTTTAATCTGGTTTGTCTACAATAGAAAGAAAATGAAAGTGTGTAATAGTAAAAGTTGTTACATAAATTACACCCATACAAAAAACACTACCATAGATTTATGTTTGAAAGTATAGACACATGAGAATAATCAGAAACATCAAATAAAAATAATAAAGACTCTACCATATATTTAAACATAAGATGTAAAATTATAATAAATTATGATATTGACATAAAACACAAAATCAACAGAGTCAGGAATAATATCTAAATGTATCTGAACAGTCAGTTTATTTTGAAGATGGCATTTTAATTCAGTGAGAAAATATAAGTAATTGGTTAGTTGGAAGAGTTGCATTTTCTTTTCACTATTTCAAGTGAATTCACTTGAAATGATTAAAATAGAAGAAAAAAATGTACAAGAAAATTTGATTATTTTATAAAATTAGAGTTGCAAAGCAAGTATGTATCCAATACACCACAAAGTTTAGTTCTATACTTATTTACGTAAAGATGAAATTATGACATATACTCCCATTTGTGGGTATGAACATATGTATATTAAAATCACGTGTCACAAGATAGGAATACGTTTAGTATTTATAAGAATCAGGTCTTTTTCCAAAGTGACTGTACCTTTTGACAACCCTCACTAGCACTGCATAAGAGTTTCAGGAGCTCTACATACACTTCATCATAAGTACTCTCAGTCTTTCATATTTTAGCCATTCTGATGGGTATGTAGTATTATCACTACATTTTCCTAATAACCTATGAAGCTGAACATCTTTTTATGCTTACTGTTCATTTATGCAGATTATTTGATATATTTTATCTTCAATATTTTGGTCATTTTAAATCAGGTTGTATTTTATTGAGATGTTAAAGTTATATCAAATAAAGAAAGAATATTTAGAATATGTAAGTATTGTGAATATTTTCTGCTATCTATAGTTTACCTTTTCATTTTCTTATTGGTATCTCATAAAGAACACAGGTTTTAAAACCTAAGTACATTTCAAATTTTTTTATATCTTATAATTTCTACTTTTTGTGTTCTCCCAAGATCTTTGCCTATTTCAATGTCTCTATGCATTCTTCTAGAAAGTTTGTAGTTTCATCACTTACATTTAGGCCTATGATCCATTCTGTATTGATTCTTGTGTTGAGTTGGAGGTGAGATGGAGCCTTTCCCCTACAGTATTCAGTTTTTGGAGTGTTATTTCTTAGGACTTTCTTTTCCCTATTGAGTTACCCTGGGGAATTTTTTAAAAAATCATTTGACCATATATGCATGTGTCTATACTGAATTCTATTATCCATTGATTTATGTCTATACTTTCACCAAAACCACAGGTCTTGGTTACTATTGCTACGTATGTTAGCTTTGTCTTGAAATCAGCTACTCTTGGTCCTCCAAAAAATTATCTTCAAAGAATCTTTCGGTTCTTTGAGGTCATTTAAATTTCCATATGAATTTTGGTATCATCTCGTTAATTTCTTAAAGAAGTCTTCTGAGATATTGATACTGTGTTGACTTTAGATAAATTTGTGTGAAAATATTGAGTTTCCAGCCCATAAATGTGGTAATCTCTTCATTTACTTAGGTCTTTTTAGATTTCCTTCAGCAAATGTTTTGTCTTTCACAAAGACAGTGTTTCTTTTCCAATTTTTATACTTTTCTTGTGTCTTTTTGCATTTGATAGTACCTCCAACACAATGTTGAATACGGATGCTGAGAACTATTTTCCTTACTTCATTCATAAACTTGGAGGAAAATCATTTTTTCCACCATGAAATTTAACAGTAGATTTTTCATAAATGTTCTTCATTAGGTTGAGGCAGTTCTTTTCTCAGTTAACTAAGAATTTATAACAAAGATAAATATTAAATTTGAAGGTGCTATTGTGTATCTATGAAGATGATCTGCTTTTTTCTCCATTATTCATTTTAGGCAGTAAATAATACTGATTATTAACATCAAACCAAACTTGCACTCTTGGGATACACATTTCTTTGCCATTTTTAAATACATTGTACTTTTATGTTTTGTTGGATTTCTTTTGTTAATATTTGGTTAATTTTTGTAGTTCAGGAGAATTTTTTCCTCTAGTTTTTATTTTCTTTGTCATGTGTTTGGGTACGTTTAATATCAGAATAATATATGTCTAATAAAACCAGTTGAAAAGTATTTCTCAGTGTTTGTGTAAGATTGTTATTTCTTTCTGAAATATTTAAACAAAAAATATCAGTGAAACCAAGAGTTTAGAATTTTCTTTTTAGGCATTCTTTGGACTCCAAATTAATTTTCTTAGTAGATGCTGGAATACTTAGATTTTCTCTTTCATTTTTGTGTCAGTTTTGATAGTTTGTTTTTAAAGACATTTTCCTATTTCATCTAAGCTATCAAATTTAATTGAAGTTGTCATAAAGTTGTTAGTTTTCTAATGTTCATAAGATCTGAAAATTGTCTCTTTCAGTTCTGACACTGGTAGGTTGTACTTTTCTTTGTTCTTGATAAATCTAGCTAGAATTTTTCAAGGAACTTTTGCTTATATTGATTTTCTCTGTTGTGTGTCCTTGCTATTTTATTAATTTATCTTCTTATCCTTATTATTTTTGACCTTTGGGTTTAGTTTGCTCTTTTATTTATTTAATTTTTGGCTTCCTAAGATGGAAACTTAGACAAATTATTTTGGACATTCTTATTCTCTAACATAAGTTTTTGAAACTATAAATACTCGCCCTCGTATGTTTTACTATAGTTGCAGTTCATAAATTTTAATTCTTTAAAAAACTGATCAAATTGTTTTCTAATTTATTTTATGCTTCCTTCTATTACCCATGAATACTCTAGGATTTAGTTGGTTTATTTACAAATATTCTGATCTTTTCTAGATGTCTTATTTCAATTTTCTAATTTAATTCTGTTTTTATGAGAGAAAATACTATGTAGATGTTTAATCTTTTGAAATCTATCATTTAACTAGATCAGAATATGATCAATCTTGGTGACTGTTCACTTGAAATGAATGTCATTTATGTTTTGATGTGCATTGTTCTCTAAAAGTCATTATGGTTAATGTTGATTATGTTTAGATCTTCTAAATCCTAAACTTTTTGAAAGTTGCTCTAATAATACAGAGAGAGATGTGTTAAAATCCTTAACTACGAAGGTTATAAAGCCCTGAACACCATCCTGTGGTATTTTTTGGGTGTGTTGAAACCTTTAGGGGGTGGGACCTAATGGAACAAAGTTAGATCATTGCTGGACCTTTCCTTGAAGGAGGTATTAGGGACTTGGTTTCTTCCCTCTTTTTTGCATCCTAGCTGTCATTAGGTGAGCAGACCTCCTATGCTACTCACTCCTGCCGTGATGCAGTGTGCTGCTTCATGCTCCAAACAGGAGCAAGTGATCATGTCTAGAATCTGAGTCAAACTCTTTACTCCTTGTAAGTTATCTCAGCTGTTTTGTCATAGTGACAGAAAGTCGACTAACACAATATAAACTGGCCTCAGAAAGACATAGAAGCCTTATAATAGTATGTTTCCATTTATATCTCCCCATCTTTGGTGAGGAGAAGCATAATGAGCTCTAGGCATTGTGGCAAGGGTGTGTGAAGGCAAGGAATACCCTGTGATAGTGAACTTAAAATAGTTCAGAATGGCTGGAATACTAAGGAGAGAAGAGGCTTTACTTACAGGAGTAAGTAAAGGAGTGAATTTATATGGTGCTTATAAACTGTGATAAGCTATTTGTACTTTATCCTGAGGGTAATAGCAAGCCATTTACGTGTTTTGTGCAAAAGAATAATATGATCAGATTTGCATTTTGGAAAGCAGAAAAGAGACTTGTAGTGGGGAAAGACCTGAATCTGGAAACTCAACGACTCTTGTATTCATCCAAGATAAAAATAGTAGTGACTACAATAAGGGCTGTGGGAGTCAACATGGGTTACAGGAGCAGATTTGAGACATATTCTGATGCAGAGCAGGAATGCTCCACTAATGGAATGTCTTCAGAGTATGTGGGAGAAGAAGAGGTAAAGATGATTTCCAGTCTCTTAACAACTGAGGAGGACTTGGGTAAGATGAGGAACTTAAAGCAGTAACATGTGGAGGAATTCTTGTTTCCCTGAATAGTATACATTCCTGGACCAAGAGGTCTGGGTCCTTGGGTAAATTAATGATTTTTCACTTCTTAAAAATATTCTTCAAATATATTCTAGTATTTCTTAGTAGGGCAGGGAAATGTATTTTCTTTTATAATTATGTGGCTATTAATATTTGTAAGATAAAGCTTCCATTATATTATTTGCACTTTCCAGTTTATTTTGAATTAAGAGTGATGTGAGTGAGTCATTTTTTTCATAAATTCCACTGGAGAATACTGTTGTCATCCGCAGAGTTTGCTCAATGTACACATCAACAGTTAGAGAAGGGGATAATTGGCATGTTTTTTATGATTTTTTTTTCTGTAATAGTTTAGGGAAAGGGCTTTTTGAATACTTTTCTATGGGTATCTACCAAGAAATATAGCAGAAAGGAATTCAATTAGGGGGGGGGGTTACATCTAATTTTTTTTTAAAAAAATAGTTATTTTGGCTCTGGTCAAAATGAAGGATTGTCAAAAGGATAAGTACTCAGCAAGCAGGCAAAGTTGCTTCAGATCTGGATTCTCTTATCGGTTCCACTGGCAGAAGTAGACAATTTGGAGCCTTTTCTCGAGCATTTTCTTTGATGTAGCTTGGAAAACTGTGGAGGAAGGTTCTGCTTTATCATTCCAACCATAAGTGTTTCTCAGGTTTAGTCTAGAAGGGCAGACAGCTGACTCCATTTAGCTCTGCTGTCATCAGAAATCTTACAGTCAAAGTTTGCTCATAATGTCCAACTGTGACAAATGTTTGACAAGATGAACTTTGTTTCATTAAGAATAAAGCAGGAAACTAAAATCTATAGGGAGCTTACAAGGACTTTTCTACTAATTCCAATCAAAGAGACTCTCTAGCACAGTGATTAGTTCCCTTTGAAGCTTAGTGTGTGAAGCTGGATATTTTCATACTCACATTTCTCATATGCTGGGTACTTATTTCCCACCTCTTCTATTAACTAAAAAAACACAAATAAAAACATCAGGGAGTGTACTTTCAAAACAGCAAAAATTTGGGCTTATTTACCCCTGGCTCAAATTCTGATTGTGACATATGTTAGCTATGAAACATGGATAATAATAGCTATGATTCTTATCTTTCCTTGGTTAATTCATGATAATAAAACATAATAAATGTGAGCACTAAAGATGATATATATAAAGTGATTAGCACTTTCATAACTGTCATTATCATCATTTATTTTTATGGTAGAATGTTTTGGTTTGTTGAAGCAGATTCTATCAAGATGAAAACCAAGCCACAGAAGGAGATGGATTTCTTCTGAGGACAGGAGAACACTGTAGAAAGAGGTCCTCAAATGGATGATACAATGTTCAGGAAAAGTGGACAGATCAGTAGAATGAAGAAAGAGAAATGGAGAATTTCAAACATCATCATCTTTTCAAACAGAAGAACAGGGTGACAGTTCTTCATTGTTTAAAAAGAAAATTTAGAAGGGATACAGCTGCTTTGATAGATGATATAGTAATGATAAATTGCTGAGCCTGGGAATTTTATGATTAATTTAGTTCCCTGGCAATTGAACAAGGGCACAAAACAATAAATGCAATAAATGGATAGTGCAGAAATCCCTGTAAACCTTCACATTGGCTCATGATAGGATTTTTTTCCCCAATAAAACTATTTTCCAAATGGAGAAGGATATGTGACAAGAAGAGCCAGGTGGAGAAAAAAAGCAAGCAAAGGATTTAATGAATAAAGCCATCTGAAACACATTTGAGGTCATAAAACTGAGATTTAAAGTTTCCAGGTATCTAAAACTGTAAATCAGAAAGACTGGTCTGTGTCAAAAATCAGATACGAAAGAGCTGTCCTATAAAACATTTGAAAACTAACAGAAATAAATTTCAGTGTGAGCAAGTCTTGAAACTCACCAGGGGTTGCCCAAGTTCTTTGAAGGACATAAGTGAACTTGAGCTTGAAGCCGGAAGTCCCAACCCTGGCAGGAACCAATGGATTTGCACTCTTTCTACAGAAAAGAAAGAAATGTATCCTTCTCCATGATCTCCAATTATCCTCCAAAGTATTGTATTTTTACCTTTCTCACAACTCATTCTTGGTAAGGAAGAAAGTTTCAATATTAAGGGTCAACTTGCAGAAATTTGGAGGGGAAATGGTAACAGCTACTATGAAAAACAAACTTGGAGAACAACTGACGTGTTTTATATTGTAAGATAATTTTTAAACCCAAACTAATCTGTGTCAATGATAAAATTACTCAGTGGTTTAGGCAGAAGAAAAAGCAGTTATGTTGTAAATATTTCTCAATTAACTATATTTGGATTACCAATTCTGCTAAGAATTGAAGATAGCATTTTTAACTCCAGTTACTTGGCTAGAAAATATTAGATGATTGCAATTATCATTTGGTTTGAAGTCCATATATATAATGTAAGATTCTATCTGTATGGAAATGAGTGTTAATATAATTTAATGCAATGAAGTCTATATAAGTTGATATAAAGTGGGCATACAAATAGTAAATTGAACATGAAATCAGATAACATCTTTATTTTTTCCCTCTGTTGTCATTTTATAATTCGTTTAGGATAGGTAAAGAGATTAAGAAAGTTTTTATTTAACTGGAACTGTCATTGGTAACAGTGTCCTCTGAGGCTGGTAGTTTTTAAAGTTGACATTTTTCATGTGGCAATTTCTGGGGCTTTTCAGGATCCACAATCAAGGGATATCTCATGCACAGCTCCCTCTGATTTGGATGAGTGAATCTCTGTCTGGCTTGTTGAAATAGTCATTCCACAGTCCATGGGAACACTGAATATGCTGAGACCATATTACCCTCCTATGTGGCCTTATTGTAAAGGATATAATACTGATTCTGGCTCTGTCATGCATGTTGCCTTCAAGGACATGGGAAAAACTCATTTGCCCAGAGAGAAGCTGGAACTGATGCCAGAGATGGGAATTTCTGACCTGATATTAACAGAAATGAAACTAAGTTGGCCAGGAGTATGAACACACAAGGTGAAACTTTAATTAGGGCACACGCCTTTTGTTGGGTTGCTGGGATAGGCTAGGGTCCAATTTTGCCATCCGATTCTGTAAAAGTACTTTTGCTTGAGAGGAGAATTTCCATTTGTTCCGTAGCAGGATGTTTATTAGACCTGTTGGGGTAATTTGGTTCCCATGAGATGATTGTTTCTGCTTGGGGTTGGGGCAATCTCATCATGGGGATGATCTGCCCACAAGGCTCTGTTGCTTGTGGAAGGTGTAGGGCAAAGGTCAAAGATGTGTAGATGATATTCTGGGGGGGGGGGTGTCCAGGGCAGGTTGTTGTGAAGCAGGCAGTTGAATGTGACTCTAAATCTTGAAGGACCTGACTTATTCTCATTTTGACATCTTCAGCCTTTAAGGGGATGGATTATCAGCATTAGGTAAACACTCCTCTATGTGCAGAGTTGTGGAAGATTGTGACCCAAAGTTTCAGGCAAAGAGGACAAATACAAAATGAAGCTAGAGATGGCGTCCCCTTATCTTTCTTTAAGTTACTCATCAGGCATCAGCAGGCCCAGGTGAAGAGTTGATGCTTTTAGCAAAGGCAGCCTCTCTTAAGTCCCGACTACAATTGGTGGCTCAAGCTCCTCAGTTTTTGTGGTACTTTTAATGGATCATGAGTTACTTGGGAATGCATATGCCCTTTGTCCCCATAGTGGTCCCAACTGCCTCAAAAATGCAAAACAATCCTCATGCGGCAGCAACTTCCTTATTCTCTTTTGTGACAGAGTAATCTACTTAATATTTGTTTTCAAAATTTGCCAGAAAAGGGTTAGGCTGAAAGCATGCTGCACGTTTAGCCATAGCAGAAGACGACTGAAGATTCCATATAATCCTGTGAAAGCTCTTATCTCCTGATTTCAGGAGGAGGCGAAAGCACCCTTCTTCCTTGGTGTGTCATTTGCCTAAGGTTAAAGTCTTAGTATTGGAGCCAAAATTTCCAACCAGAATTTTTAGAGCCCTTTTGTTCTACTCTTTCTCATTGATTATTTCTGTATATAGTTCATTCCAATTAATAGAACTAATTTAAAAAAAACAGATTTTTTTTTTTTTTACAGTAACACTTTTAAAACTAGAGAAAACATACCATTTCCTCATTTATCTCTGGGCTGTGCTTTTGTATCTTTTTCTATGGTTCTGAATCAATTTTCTACTGAACTGGGATTTCAAAACATGAGTTCATCGTGTATTCAAGTGACTGGTGAACAATTAGCAAAGCTTGTCCAAAGTCATTAATTAATAGCTTCTGTTTAATCTTTGTTGCGACTGGAGTACCCTGTGTTCTGGTGTTTATTTTTATCTCTTTGAAATGTAAATTATTTGCTCTTCTCTTACAGTTTCTTTCTGAATCTCCTTTTGGCCTACATAGAATTACTTGGGACATGTAGGGTATGCCTACTTTTCTGGAAACTTTTAAAGATAAAAGTGGTTTTTGTCTAGCTTTGAGGGTTTTCTCTTTGAAATTAATGCTACTAGTTAAAGAGTAGTTGGCTTAAGATTCCTGATGGCCTCACAGATGTGTTGTGAAATGTTCCCAACCTATAAGGCAATATTAGGTAATGGCTAAGAGTGTAAATATGCAACAGAACTAAACCCTCTCTTATTCTCAGTGTTCTTACTTCAAACATAGGAACAATAGTAACTATCTTAGCTGGATATTGTGAGAATCAAAAGTGAGAGTGGAGCCCAAGTCAGATTTTCATCCTGTATTATTATTTAGAGAAAGGGAAAAGGTGTCAAACACAGATCCCTCACTTGAGAGAGTACTAAAAACCTTTTTTTTTAAATGTAAATAGTTGCCTACAGAATAGATAATCTGGAGTTACTGGATTAATATATTAAGGTAGATATTTACATCTATTTAGTATTTCATATTGGGGATCCAAAAATTAACTCAGAGCACAAATTTCTGTGAAGAAATTACTTAAATCCCTTTAAATATGTTTAGAGCTATGAAATATGTGCCTCACTTTAACTGGAGTGAAAAAAAAATAAAAGATTGTCTGGCTACCTTTCTGTGATAATTACTCAGCCTTCAAGATCCACCCAGGCCAATCTGTATGAAGTGTGTGACCACAGAGGTTAATAACCTCCTTCATAAGGTTATTAAATTTTACTAGAGAAAATAAGATCAAATAGAGAAGAATTCTGTTAAGTAGTTTCCTTTCAGAGTCTTGAATTTTATATATTGTTCCATGAAAAACTGGACTCTTTGAAGTGTGGATATTCATGAACAAAGGAGAGTCTCTCTGGAGATTACCTGATTTTAATTAGTTGGTGCTGAAGGCACCAAGATATTTTAGCTTTTTTCTTGTTCAAAGCTGTTCAGATAAGATAGGTGTCTTAAATCCCTCCTGGAACACTCTGAAAATGAAACAAATATAAATTTCTACCAGCTTTGGAAACAGATAAATCCCGAAATCTCAGTAGTGTACACTGCAGAAGTTTATTAGTTGTACTCCACAAAGACATGGAGGGACTTGGACTCTATTTTACAATTCTACCCTTTTCTAAGTTTTTGAAGTCCTTTTCATTTGACATGGAGAAAGTCATAAAGTATCACAAATAAGAGGTTTTCATGAACCAGATATGACACTTGCACCCATAATTTCTATTTGTACTTCACTAGCCAGAACTCAGGCCTATGGCTATTCCTAATAGCAAGGGAGACTGGGAAATGTAGTTTATCTACATGGCTATGAGTAAGAGGTAATAAGTTTGGAAAGTATGTTGCCTTTCTATGGCAAAATAAATATAAAATTATATTAAGTATTAATCTAGTATGTATGTATTTTCGCTTATATTTTGTTTAAAAATTGTTCTAGAAAGGACTTAGTCATCTGGAAAATTTCCTATATTTTATCTAAAAGACCATATTTTATCTCAACTGTGGTGTCTTCAAACTGCAAATATAGAGTGAGTCAGTGGGAAAGCAAAGGCTCAGGCCATAACTGATCCAAAGAGAGCTGCACATTTGCCTCAGTCTATCTGACTTGGCCTTCATTGATGTAATAATCTTTGTCAGATAGAATACTGTGTCCAAATTCCCACTTATATACATATTAATTCATATCAAATATTATTTTTAAAGCTGTTTTCTGGATAAGAATGAAGGCCAAATGCATTCTATTTTTAAAAACTGCATAGCAATCAAGCTCAGGAATACTTTAAAATTCTTTACATTTTAAGACTCAGATTTTTGCCTCTAACATTGGCAGATATTTGAGAACTCTCCCTTGTTTTAGCAACTGATGGTTGTCAACTAATTGCTTATATTCCCTCCATAGGACTGAAAAATATATCAGAGAAGTAAGTATATTTAGTTGAAATCTATAAACACATACTGGGTGCCTTCTGTGTGCAAGGCAAGCAGCACACATAGAGCTGAGTAAAGGCAATTCATTTTCTCCAACTATAGTCTAGTAAGGAAACACTGACTGGTAGCACATTAATGATATGAATTTGATTTCCATATTTGAATCAATGTATAATTTTAAACAGCAAATATGCACTTTATTAGATTATTTAATATACTAAAATATTGCAAAACTAATGTACAATTGTAGAAAAATACATTGCTATGATTCTTTTAATTATCTTATTTAGGAATTAAAATGATGGCTATGGGAGATATTTAATAACTTGTAAAAATGTGTATATAAAAATGCTAAGTGAAAAAAATTATAACCCTAGAATTAATATAAATAAGGGGGAAATATTCTTAATCAAACAAAGACTGGCAGGTAATACACCAAAATGGTAAGTACTAAGATTATTACAGAAGAAATATTTATCAGTTAAGAAATGCTTTCAATGTGCATAATATTACCAAGTCTTGAAAACTCTAATATTAGGAACATAAAACTATAATTAAAGTTTCAAAATTTAATCACAGAATCTTTTCTTCTGAATGATTAACCGGTAATATAGATATGTTACTTCATTGGCCACATTATA